ATTCCAGGGTCATACTCATACTTTAATCCAAGCCTAAAGGCAGGGATACAGCCTGGGCAGGATGCCAGTGCATTCCAGGGTCATACTCATACTTTAATCCAAGCCTAAAGGCAGGGATACAGCCTGGACAGGATGCCAGTGCATTCCAGGGTCATACTCATACTTTAATCCAAGCTAAAAGGCAGGGATACAGCCTGGACAGGATGCCAGTGCATTCCAGGGTCATACTCGTACTTTAATCCAAGCCTAAAGGCAGGGATATAGCCTGGACAGGATGCCAGTGCATCCCAGGGTACATACTCATACCTTATGCTGGTTGACACAAATCAGTTCAATTGCTTATCTTTGGACTGCAGGAAGAAAGGACAGTTCCTCAGGAAACCCAGCTAATGGGTCCAGTATTCAGTGCCTTCAGCTCAGAAATGCCCTCTCTCATGCCCAGCCAACCCCTTTAAACGGGCATGCCATAACGTAGTCATTCTTAACGTTAAACGCATGCTTGTGATGACATCTGTCTGTCTTTTTGCACAGACCAACAACCCCACATACCCCTGTGGGAAAACAGACTCAGCATTCTCAAGGAAGTCCCCATCTTAACAGCCCCCTGAACATAAAAGAATATACTTTTCCTACAAAAGAAGGAAGAGGATGGGGATTTGGGTCTTTGTTAATGATTTTTCAGGATCCTGCCTGGCCATCTGCCTACTTTAAGGTGTCATGTTTAACCTCACAGACCCTCACTCTTTGCTTCAGTCAGGCATTCCTCACCAGTTAATTACTGTTAATTTGCACTTATGAACTTTGTCACTAATTGGCATACAGTTATGTTTAATTAAAATTCCTGATAAACCAAAGCAATTAAATATCAAAATTCTGTATGAGAACAATTAATGTACTGGAAAAAATGACTGCATTGTAGCGCTATAACATTATTGAAACAAATGGCATCTTCAGATATGTTAGTGTGTTTATTGACTTAAATAGCAGATTTTGGCTCTGGATGTCTTGCAAGGGGTTCCATCTACGACCATATTGTCTTTGGGTTCCTGCCAACATAAATGGAGAAATTGCTATTAATATGCAGGGGAAGAATGACAAGCAGAGTGGCCGGGGAATACAGCACAAGAAGCTTCTGTGGGAAAACAAAAATCGGGGATTGTTGGGGTCGCTGGTGCATGACCGGACCGGACCTGACCTGACCTGAGCACACCCTCACATTCCACAGGGCGCCACAGGGCTGAGCTGAACCTCCTTCAGCACCATGGATATGCTCACACTCTGGAAAAACTCGCTTTGAAGGACTCCGTGCCTCAGTGGTGTGAGCATTAGTGTCCCTGTCATTGGATTGATATCTGGTGATATAACAACGTGGAGAACATAAACTGTCCTGTTAGCTACTGATTGATGGGTGATAAATGTCTCTCCAGTTTCTGGGTGATGCTGGAGTTCTGCTCAGCCAACTGGAGGCCTCTATAGCTCTGTCACTGAGTCTCAGCTGATCCTGTCCCATCCCACCATAGATAGATAGATAGATACTTTATTTATCCCCAAGGGGGAAATTCAGATATCCAGTAGCTCCTTCAAAAATAAAAATAAAAAATAATAAAAAAAAACGTCCCAAATGTCATCTTGAAAGAGCACCGTGGTGCTACTCGGTATGTGTGGACCCCTAGATTAAAAAAAAATAAACTTTATGAGGTATATGGACTATGAACTTTTTCCATACCCCTATTGCCTGTTAAGATATACCCCTATGTAGCATCACAACTTTAGGTGTGGGCTGGGCTTGTCTTCTCCATACATTTTTGCTCTGTGTCCATGACAACTAACAGCTCATTTATGACTGATGGAGGCCCCGTGGACATAATCCTTGCCTTTGTGACCATCCAACCAGCCCTAATCCATAAACCCCTAAAATGGTGCCCGTTCTCCTACCATATTCTAAAGACATTGCCACTAGCG